ATACAAACCTCAGTTATTAATACCTTCAAGTCTGTGCTAAAATTCACATAGTTCTTCATCAATCCAATAATAAGAAGTCACTAACCAGAACCAAAAGAGAACTTTGGGTCAGCAGGTGGCATGGAGGTAAAGGCACTAGATCTCACACAGCTGGCTTCGTGGTTTGAGTCCTGGACCTAGTGGCTTGAGAATCATACCAGGCGCGTGTGCTATGTGCCCAGAATTCTGAGAGGAGAATGGACATAATGGGATTGCAGCATGGCCATCTCTGGGGGTGGGAGTGTGTGATTTCTCACCTTCTCTCTCTGGTGAGTGAGTGCTCATGCCCTATAGCAAAACATGAAAATGAAACTGGAAACAAAGGCCTATCTTGTGGTCTAGCCTAAAGTACAAAACCAAGGAGAAGGCCCAGAGACTTTGGTATTTTTAAAACAAAAATTTTTTAAAAGCAAAGAGAATTTCACTCACTGATAAGATCAATGAACATTTTACATATACAATTTTGGAGCAAGCCTTAAATTCATTATATAAGTAGGAACACTAACCACTTTCTAAGTTACTCTGACCATCCACTCTCAGTATCATGAAACCTATTCATTTATGGAAAAAAAACAAATGTATCCTACACCCAAAATATGTAAGACATTATGGAGAATGTGAAAAGATCAAAGTGTTTGTTTATAATCTACCCTGGGGAATAAGATTTATATATTATTCCCTCAAACAGTTGTTCTTAGGATCAAAGAGGACACCTGAAAAATTTTCCCCAACATTTTATCACACACAAAAAAATTCAAACATGGGAACCAGCAGTTAGCATAATGGCTATGTAGCTGGACTCCCACATAGTTGACCGCAGTTCGCATCCCGGACCCGGTGGCTTAAAACTCACGCCGGGCGCGTGTGCGTGCGTGCCCAAGATCCCAAGAGGAGAATGGAGGAGAAGGGATTGCAGCATGACCATCCCCGCTGAGGGGTGATTTCTCGCTTTCTGTCTCTTTGTCTCTCTCTGTCTGGCGAGCGCACGTGCCCTATAGTGAAAACCTCTACAAAAAAAAAAATTCAAACATATGGCAAAGTTGAAATAATTTTACAATGACATGCAAATACTCACCACTAAGTACCATTTTTACTTAATTTATCACACATCCATCCATCTAGCCAATCCATCTTATTTTCTAGTTAGATTTTTAAAATGAGGGGACCAGCAGTTAGTGTAATGGCTATGTCACTGGACTCCCATGTAGTCGACTGTGGTTCGCGTCCCAGACCTGGTGGCTTGAAACTCACGCCAGGCGCGTGTGCGTGCGTGCCCAAGGTCCCAAGAGAACGACGGAGAGGGGATTGCGGAGTGGCCATCCACCCTGGGGGGCGATTTCTCACTTTCTGTCTCTCTGTCTCTCTCTGTCTGGCAAGCGCACGTGCCCTTTAGCAAAAACCTCTCCAAAAAAAAAAAAGATTTTTAAAATGAGATGTTTTATGATAAATTATGACAAAAACATACTTAAGGTTTCTCCCTAAAGATTTTGATTGGTGGGTATATAAACAAAAACATTGGAAACCACAAACCTATATTCAGTGTTTAACTTTCTTGCCAACCTCCAATCAAAATCTATTCAGAGCTCACAACTGGCTCTTTTATATCTTCACACTATTATCCACTATCTGAACTATCCTTAGTCCTTTTTATGGGTCAGCATTAATCTGTGAGGATACTCCCAACTTTTACTACCTCACTCAGAATTAACCATGCCCTCTCTGAGAGGGGCCACATTTGTCATCATTTGCAATTACTGCACACTGTCTGCACCTTTTGTTTTTAGCCTGTCTCTTCTACTAAACCCTGTCCTCCTTGAGGGTAGGAATCTGAATTGTCAGCAACCAACATAGTATTGATATTTGAGCTACTGCAAGCACCTAATAAAGGAATAATATAAATAAATGACCTGAACCTGTCTTTATCCAGGAGCCAGGAAAAGTATGAGTATAGAAATGACCTAATCATAGAGGCACTTTAGAAAGTTCTTTTTTTTAATTGCCAGAGGGTCAGAAAGAACACTCCCTCAATGGGACATAGTCACACCATGATCTTGTCTCCATTTCTCCATCCTGTTGGGATTTGGGAAATACATGCACAAACACCTGGCATGTTTTTCAAGCTTCTGGGGTCAGATATGAACCGGGGTCTGCCATGTGGGATCCAGTTATCTTGCCAGACCAGAAAGATTCATTTTAGAGCAGCAATCCCCAACCTTCCTAGCACCAGGGACTGGCCTCATGGAAGACAATCTCTCCACAGTTTTGGGCATGAGGGTGGTCTCATAATGACCCAAGCACACAACATCCACCATGCACCCCATTTCCACCACTACCACACTGCAATAAACAATGAAACAATCACACAATAGGGTTTGGTTTCTATGAGAATCCAACACCTCCACTGAACCTACAGAAAGTGGAGCCCAGGCAACAATGTGAGCCATGAGGAGTGGCTGCAGAGATGAAACCTTACTTGTTCACTAAGCCTGCCACCTACCCTCCAACCCTGCTGTAAGGCCTGGTGGACAGGCACCAGTCCATGGCCTAGGGGTTGGGGACCCGTTTTAGAGCACTGTTAAAAGCATGAGCTTTGGGGCCGACAGGGGGCATGGTGGTTAAGGTGCTGGACTCCTACATGGCTGACCACAGTTCAAGTCCTGGACCTGGCCGCTTGCTTTCTCACTTTCCCTTTCCCTCTCATTCTGTCTCTCTGGTCAAATTTAGAAAATTAAGAATAATAACAAATAAAATAAAATAAATTTTTTTAAAGCATAAGCTTTAGAGCCAGACCATATGACACAGATCTCCGCATCCTAGTTTTGCCACTCACTGCTGGGAAACTTTGGGGAAGTTTCTAAATCTGTGCCTCGATTTCCTCATTTTGAAAACAGAGATAATCATAGGTTATTGTAAGGATCAAATGAAATACTTTTATTTTTTATTTTTAATGTGGTCAGTGGTCATGTGCACTCACCAGAGAGATAGAGAGCGAGCTAGGGAGAAAGTATCCCCTAGTGGGGTATAGTCACACCACAATCCCTTCTTCTTCATTTCTCCATCCTATCAGGATCTTGGGCACGCATTCATGCATGCCTGGCATGTTTTTTAAGCTGCCAAGGCCAGGATTGGAAATGGGCGTGGCTGGTCATGTGGGATCTAAGTCTCTTAACCACTAGACCATGGGTCAGCTCAATATTTAATTTTTTTGAGAGAGACATTTTTGCTATAGGGCATAAGTGCTTGCCAGAGAGACAGAAAGCAAGAAGTGACTCTCCTGGGAAGATGACCATGCCTCAATCCCTTCTCCTCCATTCTCCTCTCGGGATTTTAGGCCTGTACACACACATGCCCTGTGTGAGTTTTAAGCTGCCAGGTCTGGAACTTGAACCGCAGTTGACTATGTGAGAGCCCAGGAGATAAACATTATGTCATCTGTGGTACCCTCAATATTTAATTTTTTAAAAGCACAAAGATTAGCACCTAGCACACAGTAGGTGTCCCATCAGTATAGTCACTATTGCTAGCAATCAGATTAATAATTACAATGAGGTAAAAAGTCCTTAATAGTCCATGTGGTAGCAGTGAAAACACTAAGAAAGAATAGTCATAAAGAAACGGTCTACTCAGAAAGCTATAATCAATCCGGTCTAGGCACAGGTTTGATGCTGAACACTAGGAGTCTAACATGTCTGGCCTCTAGCCACAAGCTCTAAAACCACTCAAGGTTCTCTTTTCAGCTGCCCTGCTGAGATTTTCTTCCTCATTACTCCACTCAACACCATTTTTTCGGGTTGTGATTCCCACAATTCCCTGTCCAGCCTGTGAGGATATCCCCAAGAACCTTGGTTGGGGAATGGGTTTGCATCTTCTTCCTGCCCACCTCCTTTAATTCTCAAGCCTTGCTATTCGCTACACGCAGGATTTTCTAAGAGTATGGGAAAAAAACAGAGCAACAGCAGCAGTGCCAAGAACCGGGGATGCTGCCAAGCTGTTCCCCAGGCCCCATATGCAGTGACCCAACTACGTGCAAATTGGACTTAACTGCCCATGGGGCCTCACACACTTGATATCTCTTCTTCCTTCTGCTAATTTTCCTCCTCCCATCTAAACAACCTCATCCCAAACCTGTGACCCATTCAAATCTAGTCCAGCCTTGAAGACTCAGGTGACATCCAACTTTTCCTCCCTTGACCATTTTAGTCCACAATAATCCCTGCCACCAACATACTTGCACACCAGGTACTGTACTTACTCTCTGTAACATGAAGCATAATCACATACATATTTATATGATTAAATAAATGTTACCTATATATATTTGACAAGGGCAGGAACTGTGTCTTAAGTCTTTCAAATCCCTTATCTCAGTGGATTAATACTTGAACAGTGACTGAATCAGTGGTTTGCTTGTTTAGGCAGGAGGAGGGAGAAGTATATTGAAATAAAAGAAGTTGTACAGACAGATAGGTAAGAAGCACTGGGTCAAAACAGAAAAGAACAGAAGAGAATATAGAAGAATGTCAATTAACATCTGTTTAATTAATTTGCTGTGAAGCTGGAAAGAGATATAGAAGAGCAATGTCAAATGTAGAAAAGCAGGGAAAGGGCCTTTTTGCTTTAAACAGAAGACAGCAGGAAAAAAGAGAGATTAACAGAAACTGACTACATTCTGCTAAAACATACACAGACCAATTGGGTAAGTGAAGGTAGAGGGAACTGTTGTGATGACAAGGATACAGATGTGGTCATGTAGGTGGACCAATTAGTAGGGGGTGGTATGTAGAGGGGGTAGTATGTAGAGGAAGTAGATGGATAAAATGGTTGAGAGTACTTAGGTAAGGTTAGTTCAGTGGGCAGGTGGGTGGGTAGATGGGAAGCAGGTAAGTGGGTGGGTGGTTAGGAGTTTAATTGGGAGGGAATAGGTGTGGGGCGTGTTATTTAAAATCCGGCCCCTCCCTCACCTTGACCCGGAAGCGGATGAGTGCTAGCCTCACGCAGTGGCTCAGGCAGGCCGGTGGCAGGAACCAGGCCCGTGGTGGAGGGGTGCCCTTGTTGCCCACGTGTCCCACGATCAGTTGCGCTGTCTGTCGCTCAGCCTGGCACCGACGGCCCCACTCGGCCAGCCGGTCCTTGCCCAGGCCACCGGGGAACATGACCACAAGCTCCAGGCCATCGCCACCGGGATAGGCACAAGCCTGGCACAACGCTGACAAGTAGCCCAGCATGGCATTCCATTGGCCGCCACACACCCAATCCGTCTGGTAGCCGCCATAAACCCGCGGCAA